CCCAGGTCCAGGATATGCACCCACCCCCAGCAGGGGGCAGCTCACACCCGAACCCAGGAGGTAGACCCCTTCATTCTGGGGTGGAGAAGAGCAGACAGCCAAGTCCTGGCCCGGGCCGCACCAGTCTGACCGACCAGCCCCCTGCCCCAGCGAAGCCACTCCCCGGACCACCCCTTCAATCTGGGGTGGAGAAGAGCAGACAGCCAAGTCCTGGCACGGGCCGCACCAGTCTGACCGACCAGCCCCCTGCCCCAGCGAAGCCACTCCCCGGACCACCCCTACACCCTACCAATGGCCAGGCGCCCGCCCCCAACCGACCACCCCCCGGACTCCAGCAGCCATCCCAGCCAGCGGGCCAACCACAGCAACCAGGAGCCAGACCCCGGGAGCCCGAACAGCCCCAGGGAAGCTGGAGCGCCAGCCCCACCTCTGGACCCCCCCCAAGCCCCATGTCCGCCTGCAGTTGTTTATACTTCAATTAAAAATATTTGACCAAAGGACAACTGGAGCAGGACTAGAGAGAGATGAATATGATTTAGATTTTTATTTCTGTGTCTGTAAACGACCCACAGCAGACACGACAGCAGTCATCATTTCATTCCTCGGCTTTAGCAGCTCCTTTAATTCCACAGCTGACGCTGCTAAAAATGACACATTTTATTCTGGATGTCTGAGAGCAGGACTTCAGTCTCTGAACTAGTGAAGTTTTTCTTTTTACTTTGTGATGTCTTTTATGAACAAACACTTCCTGGTATGTGTGGCAGGAAACATTACCTTATATGGTGTTTTTAGGGTAGTAATGATGCTAATCTCCTCTCCTCATACACAAGCAGCTGATACACATTCATCAGTTTACACAGCTCATTTACACACTTTTCCTGAAGATAGAAGAGTTTGTTGAATCTGACGTGACATGTTCATACGAACCCTTCACACGAACAAAAGTAAGAGAAATCTAGAATAAGAACATGTTCTTGCATGAGGACCAGTGTTTAAAATAAATTTATTGCATTCGGCAGATTATTTTCTGTAAACAGGAGGTTTGTTTTTAGTAGACAGATACTTCAGACATATTGTTAGATTTATAAGATTAAGGGAAAGGCGTGATGTTCTCCTGACTGGGTTATTTTCTTCTGAGGAGAGTTTGGTATAAAAGTTTTCAAAGATGTGTTTTATTTCCTCTGGTGGTGGAGTTAGTTTCCCTGCTGAGTCTTTATTATTAAGATAGTTGTTTTCTGTATTTTGTTTCAGATGGTTTGCCAGCTGTTTACCAGATTTATTGTTCTGTTGGAGGTTTTCAATTTTGAACCTTTGGAGTATGAAATTGGCTTTTTGACTTATTAAAGTTGTCTCATAAAACAGCTTTCCTGTCTCCCAGTTGAGTGATGGGGTAGTTTTTTGGAGTCATTTAATTTGAAAAAAAAAAAAAAGACGCCGTTCTCCAAAAAACTACGGCTCCTTTAGAAGTGATCAATGGACATGAAATGGACATGTCAATCATCAGTAGGCTTGTCAGCAACTGACCAATCACCAAACAGCAGTGACACTCCTCCTAGCTGTAGGAGTTACCTGAACTTTTCCTTTGACAAACTCATCAAGATTTCATTTATTAGCTCTCATGAAACATCTTCTAGAAAACAATTGTTAAACATCATTAGAGAGCGTGTGTCAGACGTCATCCTGAGTGGTTAGAGGGCAGAATGTTGTTTATGTTGTTCCCAAAACCTGAGCAGAGTCTGAAGAAGAGGAACAGATAGAGGCTTGTGTTCATGATTAGTTTCTATGCTGCTTATTGACAAGAGATCCAACTCATGTACTGATTAATGAAAGATAAATTATAGGCAATGCAACCTGATGGCCATAAAGGTAGAAGTTATGAACAACATCAATAATGAGATTTTGGATGGTGACTGATGAGTGTAATTACACAGTGGTTGTACTGACAGGTCACATGCTGCATCACAAACTGAAAACAATGCATGTGCTGATCATCCTGTAGGTCAGGTCAGCTGATTATGATGCTACAGTCTGCTCATTCACTTCAGAGAACTCTGTTCATTTATTCTGATGTTCTGAGAAAATTACCTCTCACTTTTTATTTACATCTACTTTTATATTTCTTCTTGCTTCTTCATAAATAGCAGGAGCCTTGCTGCGACACTTGAATTTAACCTGTTTATTTGCAGGTTCACACAGACAGAAAGAAAAAATAAACCAAAATAGCTTCAAACAGGATAAAGAAAAGATGATTTAATAATACTATTAGAAAACAGTCCTTGCTTTTGCAGTGTGTTTATTACAATCATTTTTGTTGAATCAAACTAATGAAACTGGTCTTGACAACAAGAATGGTACTCTTTAACGTTTAGGTCAGGGCTATTCAACTGGCGACCCGCGGGCAACATCCGGCCCGCGAGTGACCAAAGATCGGCCCACCAATTGGTTCATTCATCTCTTAAGCCCAAAACCCCAGTTTTCTACTTTAATAACTTTGTCTTTTAGATAAACAAAGACATGTCTGGTATCTACAGAAACATCAGGATCTTGGCTACAATCTGGTAAAAACATTTCTATGATCATCCAAGACAGTTAAAACTACAAGCAGTTGAAGATAAAACTATGAAAGTAAAATAAAATTGGTTTAAAAATTTGGCAAGTCAGAGATGTTAAAATATTACTTGTGTCTGATAGGAGGTATAATGTGTTCTTTTTGTTTTTGAAATTGTTTAATTATCACTACTTTTATAGGGTTCTGCATGTTGTATTCATGATTAAATGCAGAAAAATGAACTGCATACTTGTTTTATTTACTTGGTTCATTTACATAATAACTTTAATTGCTGGATGTTCGGCCCCTCAGCTGCTGACCTGCAGTAACTGTGGCCCCAGGAGTGATTTAGTTGAACAGCCCTGGTTTAGGTTCACAACCTTTTGAGACAATCACTGCAGTTAAGTGATTTCTGTAACTCTGAGATTTGGTTGTAAACTTTGCCATTATTATTAAAATCAACTCAGTCTGATGATTAAAATTTAGAGAGCTATCATTGGGAACACCTACACACATTACAATGGACCAACACTTCAAACACAACACGATGTGGGAGATACTTCCTAAAACTTTGCTTCAACCTTTGGTATTATTTGAAAAACACTGATGTAGAGTTTCTAAAGCAGCCAGATCAGGGCTGTAGCTCTTCAGCTGATGTGTCCCATGAGTGTATGAGTGGTTTAAAGCACTGATTAGTCTCCATGGACTGATTTATCTACATTAGCTTTGTAGTGAGATCTAACAGAGTGCTGTGTGAACGGGTAAATGAGGACACATATTGTAAAGAGCTTTGAGTATCATGGTTGGATAGAAAGGTACCATATAAGTGCAGTCCATTTACCATTCATCTAAACTAACTTTTTGCATTGGTACACCTAACTTTTTTTCTTAGGTGCACCAGCACAAAAGTTAGGAGCACCCAAATTGCAACTACATTACATTTAACATGACAGTTTAACAGGTTCACTTCATTCAAACTGAACTTTTCATGGTTAAATGTCTTTTAGACCAGAGATTCTTGGGCTGCGAGCACCACCTTGAGGGCCTCAAGAGAACAACTTTTCTTAAATTTGGGCCGCAGAGGGCCGTGGGACCACATTGATTTTGAATAAGGTGTAATACACTTTCTCACCACTAGTAGCAGTAGTGCACCACTCAGATGTTTAACAACTTTTTAATATGTAGAAGAAGAACCTTAGAAACCTGCTGAGAATGGAAACTTATTTTAAATGAAAAGTAGAAGCAAAAATGAAAGTTATGGTGCGTTCACACCGAACGCGATTTCAGCTTCAAAATCGCAGCCAACGCTGAAGTTTGAAG